TGGCCTTGAAAGGCTGAACACTTGTGTGTACCCTGTGCCTTGCTTGTCTGGTTTAGGTTTGTACCCTCATCTCCATTCAGACAAGGGGCTGAATAGCTTCTCTCTCTCCCCTTCTATCTCTTTCTCCCCTTCCTCGTTTTTTGAGTAAATTTCTGCTGCATGTCTGCTTTTGGGTCTTGTCCTGAGTTCAGAAGCATGTGGGTGGGGATTTATAACCCGAGTCACCCTTATTTCCTGTGGGGTTGACCTGTGACACTTTTTTCTTTCTTTCTTTTTTTTTTAAGATTTATTTATTTGTGCGTACAAGAACTGGGGTACAGGCCAGAGGTGTGGGGGTGAGAGGATTCACCAGAGACAGAGTGGGGAACAGAACAAGCAGACTGACTGAAATACACTGCTGAGGGGAGCAGCAGGCGAGTCAGGTGAGGTCTGCTGCGCCATGTGGGTTGCTCCCTGGCCGGGGATTGAACTCGTGCAGCACTGGCTGCGGATTGCTTCATAGGTTGCGTCTTAACCCCTTGTGCCACCAAGGAGGCCTCTATAACACTCTTTTCTTAAAGAAGAGATAAAATTTCTTTAGATGTGCAAAATCTCAAAAATCCTGCTTCCCATGATCTTTTTGAAGAGACTACAGGCGGCTGTGCTCCTGTAAAACAAGGAAGTACATCAAGAAAGACAAGGGAGGGCCTCCCTGTGAAAATTTCACAAAACCATTGGATGGTGTGCAAAGACTTAAACCATAGTTTCAAAGAAAACTAAGCAAATGGGGAAAACAAAAAATGTGAACTATAAAGGAAAATAAACCGGAGTGCCCAACTTGGCTGAAGAACACACATTATATTTGTGGTGGAAATAAAAATATTGACTATGAATTTAACAAAATATAATTTAATTATTTTTGTAAAAGGGAAGGAAGAAATGGGTAAGAACGTAAAATAAAATCCTTCTAACATAATGTCAATAGATGTCTGAAGCTGGTAATTCTAGATTATATATGTATCATTATATGAGTATTTTTTAATTGGCAATAATTGGCAATAAATGCTAGATATAATAACTGAAAAGTTTGTAAGTGGTACCTCTGGGAATGAGGTGGCTAGGATATATAGCTACATCTGGTCAGGTAGTAAGCCGGGGAGGGTTTATGGGGGCTGGATAGATGGCTGCTATTTTTAATTATAAAACTTTAACAGGATTTGATTTTTAAAAAGTATATATTTTTAAATTTCATTAGAAGTCATATTTTTAAAAATTGAAATTTAACTTTTACCTGACATTACTTATTTTTTGTTGTATATGTTTTCTTACGTTCTGTGTCTTTCTTTTGCTGGAACTTGATTTTTTACATGTCGGTGAACACTGAGAAGCTTGCACAGTCATGTAACCACCACCACTACAAAGAGACAGTGTTTTCACGACCCCAAATAGCTCCCTTGTTCCTCTTTATTGTCAGCCTCCCACACCATTGATCTTGGTTTCTGTTCCTATCATTTTGCCTGCTTCAGATGTCCTATAAATGGAGTCAAATGCCATGTGACCTTTGAAAGGCCTGGCCTCTTTTGCTAGGCATAATGCTTTTGAGAGTCATTCATGCTGTTGCATTTGGTGGGGGGGGGGGCAGACCTTTGAAATCCCACGTGATAGTCGCCATCAGTTATTAATGCCGCTAACCTCCGTCCACCAAGTATTTCGGGCTGGCTATTTTCTGGTCATGTGATGGGCTTGGATTTCCTGGTTCCCTTATGGCTGGCTGGGGCCATGTGATTAGTTCTGGCTCATGAATTGTGAGTACAAGTCAGTTCCCAGCCAAACCATTCAATTGACAAGGGGAGGCCCTGTTGAGTTCTCTCTCCCCTGCCACAGTGACGGGGAACACCCGTGCTGGTGGCCATTTTGTGAACCAGTCCCTTGGTGTGACTGTGACCTGTGACGGATGAATAGCCAGTAACTAGGTAGCTCGCAGAAGCACACCCTTGCAGTTCCAAGCCTTTGGGGCTTAGGCGAGGCTTGTTATCATCAACCATCACCCTAATCGCCCATATGGAAGGCTCGTGTTTTCACAAGCTGGGAAATTTTCTTTTATTGTTGCTTTAATTATTTCCTCTCCTTATTTATTTCTCTTTCACTTTCTTCTTTCTTTCTGTAACTATTAGGCAGGTGATGGAACTTTTGGATGTATCCTCCACGTCACTTAGCTTCCTTTGTCCTTTTGATAGTTTTCTGGGAGAAATTCTCAGATTACTCTTTTAATTTACTACTACATTGTCCAGCCTTATTCATTTTGCTATTCAACTCGGCTTTTTTAGAAAAATCATATTTATTTTCCAAGAGCGCTATATGCTTCTATTCTTTTATTTTTTTAAGAGTAAACTCTTTTATTTATTTATTTTTTTAATGTATACAAGCACTGGGTACAGTCAGAAGTGCGGGGTGGGGGGGCGGTGTGTGTGTGTGAGAGAGAATTCACCAGAGCCAGAGCGGGGAGCAGAACAGGCAGAAGGACCAAAGTACACTGCTGAGGGGAGCAGCGGGCACAGCAGGAGAGGTCTGCGTGCCATGTGGGACCCTCGCCCGGTGGCCAGGGATCAAACTGGAGCTGCAGAGGCTGCAGGCAGCTTCGCAGCCCAGCGCTCAACCGCTGCGCCACCAGGGGAAACCCTATTCTTTTATTTTGTTTAAGATTTATTTATTTATGCATACAAGAACTGGGGTGCAGGCCAGAGGTGGGGGTGTGAGAGGATTCACCAGAGACAGAGTGGGGAGCAGAAGAGGCAGACTGACTGAAATACACTGCTGAGGGGAGCAGTGAGGAGACAGGAGAGGTCTGCTGCACCATGTGGGTCAGCTCCCTTGCTGGGGATGGAACTTGTGCTGCAGTGGCTGCAGATAGCTTCATAGTCTGAGACTTCTCCCCTTGCTTCATAGTCTGAGACTCCTCCCCTTGAGCCACCAGGGAGGACCCTACTGACAACTTCTTAACAGTTGTTTTTCACCCAACAATAGATGGTGGACATCTTCACCAAGGAGAAAAGTCTTCAGATAAAGGAGAGCAGTTCAGACATTGCCACTAGGGTTGAAACAGTAGTTTAGACAAGGTGGTAGCGGTGGTGGGGGGTTCAAACTCACACCCAAAGTTGCCAGTCCCTCTGGCCTTCTGTCCCCTCCTTGGAGAGGAGGGAAGGAGTTAGGTGGTCATTTTGTAACAGGGTGCTCCGCAGGAAAGGGGGGTTTGTTCCAGTTTTCCTGCCCTACCCAAAAGGAGGGCGGAGCTGAGCAGGGAGAGAAGAAGCCTCAGAGGAGACGGAGGAAGGAAGGAGCAGGATGGAGAGCCAGAAGGGGCCCTGGAGGAGGCACATGATGCCGAGAGACATGTGAAGAAACTGTGCTTGCCTTGTCGTCGTGGACGGGGTGACACAGATGGGGGTGAGAGACCCGTGGGGAAGTGACAATGGCAGATTTTGCCTTGATTTTGATTTTGCTCTTTTCCTTCCAGACTTGTCTGGTTGTTTCTGATCTTTTTTGTGGGTCCCCACTGGAGGGTGCTTTAGACTGTGGCAGGCTTTGGGGCCTTGCTCTGGGCCAATCCCATTTGGGTGGACTTTTACCCACGAGGGGACGGGTAACTTTGGGTGCTTGATTTAGAAACTATATTCTATTCTTTGCCTTTCCTGTATTGTTTCCTAAGTGTATTAAAGTTCCTTTTCATTAAAGTGTCATATGTTTTGTGTTGATGCGACGGATGGCAGAACCGATTTGGAGCAGGCAGGTTTGCGCCGTCTGGGCTGCCCCTCTCCCTGCCCTGTAACAATTTTAATGACAGCCCTTGGTCCCTTTTCCCCCTCAACAGCCTCCCCTCCTGGAGGCCCTAGTTAGGCAGAGGGTGACCCCAAATCTGGAAGTGAAACTGTCTTCAAAGCAGAGCACAGGAGGGGTGGGGGGAAGGTGCCCTGCCTGGGGGCCTCACTAGCCCTGGGGTGCCTGGCCGCCCGCCCTCCCCACACAGACCCCATCAGGATTACCTCTGAGCCCCTGAAACCTCGACAGCTTTCCAGACCTGCCAACTCTAAGGATGAGTCATACGAAATCGCTGTTTCTGTGGGTCAAGAAGTGGTTGAGTACCGCGATGTCTGGGCGCCTCTCGCCTGGCTGATCCAACTCCAGATGCGTTTATTTAGCGCCCACCCTGCGGCGCCGCGCTCAGCGCTAGTCATCATCACTCTAATGGGAATCCCTCTGGGAATCCCTCGTTCCCGTCTGACAGAGGAAAAGGATGGCCCAGAAGTCTCCCTTCGGAAGCGGGCGCGGGGCGGGGGGCAGAGACGTGGCCTGGACTCCAGCCGCGGCCCGGGGGCGCCGCCCTCCCGGGAAGGCCTCCCGCGGGCCGCGTCCGCCTCGGCGCGCGAGCACCGGCGAGCAGGGCTTGGCTCTGGGTTTCGCGCCTCGTCCCTTGGGTGCTGGGCCACCCAGTCTTCTCGCCCATAGATGGGGCGCTGGCCCCGCGGGGCAGGCGGGGGTCCACGCGGGCGGGAGCCGCGGCCCCACCCACCACGTGCAGCACCCGCCGGCCCGCAGCGCGGGCGCGGGGCTCCTCCCCGAGCGCTGGGCGGCGGCCGCACTCCCGCCTCCCGCCGCGACAGCCGCGAGCGGCGCCCCCGGGACCGCGCCCCGCAGCCCCACGCGCCGGCGAGGGGGCGGGGCGGGGCGGGGCGGCGAGGCCTCCGCCCCCACCCCTTTTATTTTTTTGTCCGCCGAGACGAGGGACGCTCCCCCTGCGCCTTTAAGAAGCTGACGCGGGCAGCCGATTGGCCGAGGCGCGCGGATGACGTCACGCCGGGGCCGGCGCCGAGGCGGCCCCGGACGGCCCGCGCCCTCCCCCGCCGCCCCGCGGCGCGCTCGCGGGCACTCGGCGCGCGGGCCGGGCCGGGCCGGCGCCCTCGCAGCTTCCCTCGCCCGCCCGCGTCGCCCCGGGCCCCGGGGGATGCCCCCGGCCGGGCGCCCCCATGGCCGCCGACGTCTTCATGTGCTCCCCGCGCCGACCCCGCAGCCGGGGCCGCCCGGCGCTGCTCAAGCCCCAGGCGCCGGAGGACGACGACGACTCGGACACGGATGAGCCGTCCCCGCCGCCCGCCGCGGCCGCCGCCACCGCGGCCCGGGCCCACGCGAGCGCCGCGCCGCCGCCGCCCCGGGCCGGGCCGGGCCGCGAGGAGCCGCCGCGCCGCCAGCAGATCATCCACAGCGGCCACTTCATGGTCTCCTCGCCGCACCGCGAGCACCCGCCCAAGAAGGGCTACGATTTCGACACGGTCAACAAGCAGACGTGCCAGACCTACAGCTTCGGCAAGACCAGCTCCTGCCACCTGTCCATCGACGCCTCGCTCACCAAGCTCTTCGAGTGCATGACCCTGGCCTACAGGTAGGAGCCGGGACCCGCGGCGGGCCCGGCTGCGGCTCCCCGCCCGGCCGGCTCCCTGCTGGAACAACTCGAGCGTGGACGGCCGGGCCGCGGGAGCCGCGCGCCGGACCCTCGCCTTCGCGCCTGCCCCGGGGGTCTTTCCGCTTCGGCCCGGCTTAGGGGCCTGGTGGACCCCGCGGAGGGGAGCGAGGGGCCGGGGTCCTGGCCGCTTTCGCTCTTAGCGGTGCTGGGGTTCTTCCGGCTTCGGTTCCGGCCTCCCCTCCAGAGTCCGGGTTTTGGACAAGAAAGAGACCTGGGAACCGACTGCTCCATCCCTTCCCCCAGGGGCTTTGTGTTTCCAGCGACACGGTGTAGTGGAGAAGGCCACCTGTCCAGGGGTGGCTTCAGCCCAGCCCCGCTGTTGGTGGTTGTGGAGGATCTCGGAGCCCACTTCCTTATAAAGAGGGGGTGACTGTAGTGTGTCCCTCATTGGTGGGGCTGGAAGGAGGTCGGTCGAGTGCTTAGTGCAGTGCCTGGCACACACTGATAGTTAGATGCTTCGTGGATGTTAGCTACTTTTCCTTTTGTCCCAGCAGAGGGAGGCTGGGTCTCCTCACATGCCCCTGTTGGGAAGCTCTCCCTGAACTTGGGAGGGGCTCTGGGTGCCTCGTAGGAAGACTTTGAAGCCACAGCTGTTGGAGGTGCAGTCTGTCCTCCTGGCAAGTCCGAGGCTTCTCTGGCTCTAAAGATTAAATGGAGATGTAGTTGTTAGGGCAGGCACCATCCTGACATGTGGGTTGGCTCTGGGCTGAGAGCCCTTTTTTCTAAGTCACAGGAATACCTGGCCCTCTCCGGTTTAAAGGGTTTCCACGCTCTCCCATCCTCACTGGATATGTGATGGCTTTGCTTCAGGTGACTTCTGCCTCAGCAACAAAACTTTGAACTAGCTGCAAAGCTCATGATAGAATCTCTGCTGAGCAGGGTCATTGCATGGGTGATGGGTCTGGCCGGGGCTGTCTTAGGGCTGCTCTGCAGACAACAGAGACAAAATGTCCTGAGAAACTCAGAAACCGTACAAGGAAGAGAAGGAATATTGTGTCCCCCCCTTTTTTGGGGGCCGGCCATGAACCCCAAATATGTGGAAGTTAAACAGTACACATTTACCTGAAGTTAAAATACTAGGCTCCGCCCCAGTTGGCCCCCTCAGGGCCCCCCCCCCATAAATGTTTCATCAACTTGTTCCTTTGTTATGTTCCTGAAATGCACCCCTGCCCCCGCCCCATTTCCTCTCCAAGATTTCCCAGATGGTTTGTTTGCCACAGGCTGCAGTACATTACCCACAGCTCTTCTCCTGTTCCCCTACGTGGCACATTGGTCAGGCCCTGCTCTGATTCCCTGGCCTTGCCAGTTTGAGCTGTCACCGAGCCTGTGAAGATGTTCGTTTTTGTTGTTTTCTTGTGAAGCACCTGGCCCTCCTCTAGCCCTTCTTTAGTCAGGCTCACATTTTGAGCTCTCTGCTGGAATCAAACCCAATGAGGCCATAGCATATGCTGGCCTTTGAGGGTCCTTTCAAACAAAACTGGAGGTGAGAGACGCAGTGTGTGTCATCAAGAGAAATCGATCCTCTTTATTTTAACATAACCTGTACCTGCACAAGAGAGGACGCGAGACAGCAGGAGCCGCCAGAGCTGTGAAGGTGGACCTAGGCCCTGCTAAGGAGAAGCGAGCCGGCCTCCCTTCGCCCTCCGTTTGGATAACCTGGAGGCTTATTCTTAAATAACGCCAAAGAATTTTAATAAAGGCGGTTTTTTCTCACTTCTTTCAGAAATATTTTGGCAGCTGTCCATTGCTCAGTTAACCTTCTGGATTGCAAAAGGCACCAGTTGCCCAGTCAGAGGCTTACCTTGCTTGTCAGGCCCACCAGCCCCGGCTCTGTCCTTCCCTTTTACTCCCTGGGCGAGTCTTGCCGCTGCAGGTCCCCAGTGGGTGTCTGGATGGCCTGAGTTTTGTTGGCGATGTGTGACTTGGGTCAGACTGACAGAAGAATGACTCAAAGCCAGTTGTCTAGCCTCTGGCACAGAAATAAGTAAGAGAACAGAGTGAGTTTCTGACTGCAGCTGGCCTTTCCTTACCGCTCGCTGGCTTTCCGAGAAGTAGGGTCAGGAGGGGGGCAGGGAGGAAAGAAGACTTTACTTTGGGGGGGGGGGTCTCACTTCCCTGCAGGCGGGGTTTGAGCCTTCACCCCACTTGCCTGGCAGCGAGGAAGGCCAGCTGTGTGACTGTTTCTGGCCTAGGTTCTTTCTAACTTCCACTTCCTCCCTGTCCCCTCTCGTCTTCATTCTAGCTGCCTAACTCTCCTTGGTACTCTCTGTGCTTTTTTTTTGGTTTGGTTTCCTGTTAACTGCTGCCTTCCAGCTGTTTCCAGATGAGGTTCAACAGCTCTCTGGAGGAGGAACTAGTGTAGGGGAAGTTGTGGTTATTATTTTCCCCCGGTGCTGTGAAGTGGTCTAGGGGTTCTGAGTGTGATATGTTCCTGAACATACAGTCTTGAACTCCAGGAGGGGCCTTGCAAGACTGGCTTTGGGGTGGGGGAATGGGGTGTTGAAGCATTGGAGACTGTATGGCGGGCTGGGTAAGTAACAGAGAGATGGAATTCCAGCTTCACTTGGTCTGGCCTTAAAATCCATGTCCCTTCTGTGATGTTAAGTAGCCCCATCACCAGACATCTTGATTTAGTCCTAAAATGTATGCGCCATTAGTAGAACATTTTGGAAGGGAAGACGTTGGCTTTTTCCAGGACACAGCTCAGGTGCTAGAAGACAGGGGAATGGAGTCCTTGGCATGCCTTTTCTGAGCCTTCCTGTCGGCCACCACAGTAAAACGGGGAGCATGAACATCTCCACAGAGTGGGTGTGAGGATCCACTGAAATAATGCCTGCGAATGTTCTAGAATCTGTTAGATAATAAGCGAGAGGAAGTTTAACAAGCTGAATCCAATTCTACATCCTCATTCAGTGACCATTTATTATGAGCCCAAGTTTCTCATCCATACACTGAAGAAGTTACATCTGACTGGGGCCTTTTTTTTTTTTTTTTTAAAGATTTATTTATTCATACAAGCACTGGGTATAGTCAGAAGCGTGGGAGGGTGAGAGAATTCACCAGAGCCAGAGCGGGGAGCAGAACAGGCAGACAGACGGAGGACACTGCTGAGGGGAGCAGCGGGCGCAGCAGATGGGGTCTGCACGCCATGTGGGACCCTCGCTGGTGGCTGGGGATCGAACCGGTGCTGCTGAGGCTGCGCGCAGCTTCGCAGCCCAGCGCTCAACCTCTGGGCCACCAGGGGAGGCCCAGTGACTGGGGTCTTTTAAGGCAGCTTTCAGATGCCTGCCTCCCAGACACTGAATAGCTGCATTCTTGGCTGGCCCTGCTTTCTGAGTCTCCACAATGGAGCTATGTGCTCTGGAACATAGTTCATGCTTCTTGCTCTCTCCACATTTGAAGGAATGTCACACATGTAAACCACCCACAGACCCCGAGCCCATCTGGTTAGCTTCTTGTGTAGCTTCTTGTGATTGCTTTTGGTTTCACTTCCCTACTTTTTCGAGTAACTCCTTAATAGGGTGTCTCCTAAGACTGTCTAGGGGGTAGGAGCCGGTCTTATGTGTTTAGAGACAGTGGCAGTTCTCTGGGCAGTGGGTTTCTGCTCCAGCAGATAATCGGGAGGCCGTGGAGCGGGCACCGGGAAGGTGGCTTTAGGACACGTGTTTCTAGAGTGCAGCCCATATGTGCATGCCCTGGGTGGCAGCCTTCTCCTCCTGACTCACCGTGGGGTCTGTGCCAGGCTGAAGGAGTAGCCAGGATGAAAGGTTGACACTTTAAGTTTCCAGTAGAGAAACTTTCTAAAGCTAGGCACACAGCTAAGTTCATTCTCTTCCCCTGCCAGCCAGAGAGAAGCAGTTTTTCTTCTCTTGGCTTTTTCTGGTCTCACATGATTACACGTGTCAAGGGCATGCCCTAACACGGAGCTGGAGCTACAGAGGTGAAAAAGATAGTCTGTCCTCTGGGAGCTCCCAAATGTGGGGCGGGGGACAGATAAACAGATAATTCTAGAGCAGTTAACAGGGCTATGATTAAAAGCACAAATGAGCCAGCTCTAATGGCCACATTGAGCCGAACCGAGTGGGTGTGCTTACATAATCCCCAGCCATTAGGGTTTAAAGCTTACTCCCCCTCTCCCTGTTAACTGTCAAATATGGTGGTCACGTTCCCCATCAGGAAGCCCCGGTGATCTCCACCTGTCTTCTTCCCTTTAGAAGCCCAGGACTGAAGTTCTGTCCTGAGGAAGCTGATTGGCTAATTGCCATCCTGGAAATGGGAAGGGTGAAGAAGGATGGTACAGTTGGGCAGAGCCTGGAGCAGAAGGCGGAGGCGGGGGAGTTAGCATTGCTAACCCACCACCTTTGAGATACAGCGATTATTTTGGATCATCTGGGTGGGCCCAGTATGATCACCAGGAGCTTTAAAAGCAGAAGAGGATACCAGGAGACCCAGAAAGCAAGCAGCAGGAGAGAGACTTGTCCAGCTGCTGCTGGCTTTGAAGGCGGTAGAAGGGGCCGCAAGCTAGGAATGCAGGCACCTCTGGGGGCTAGAAAAGGCAAGGAAGCAGCTTCTCTTCTAGAGCATCCAGGGCAAACCCACCCCTGCTGGTGCCTTAGTTTTAAGGGACTCGTTCAGCTGCCTGACCTCTGGAGCTGTGAGATGGTGAATTTGTTTTGTTCTCAGTCACTTACTTGTGGCTGTTAGAGTAGCAACAGGAAACTGATACAGATGGTTTCAGAAATTTCTCAAGGTAATGTTTGTGATGTCAGCTCTGCCAGGGGAGAGTGTGGCAGCCGCCTTGAGTCTCCTCTGTGATGTTGAGCTGTGAAAGGGAGTCTGTCAGGTGGCCTTATCCTTGACCCCCAGTACAGTTCCTTCACTAGGGTGTGGTCAAAAGTGAATTTTACTTATTTTTAGGG